ATATACATATGCGGGTATATGTATGTGCAATATACGTATGTACACTGAGTGCCTATATTTATACGTTTAGAGACATTCACTTTACATATACGAAATGAGCAGAATCCGAAAATGCTTTAGTATTCCTTGTGATGGAGTTTCATTTTATCTGTATACACAGTGTACTGTATAGTGTATTATAGATGTATACTCGAACAGAGGGAAATCATTACAAAGAAACTAATACTAAACTTAATGATAATACCTGAGGTTGTTACAATGCTGGACTAGCACGAAACGCGCACTCGCCCACCTTCACCACGTGTAAATAAACATGGGAACCAATTCCATGCAATACAGGAAACATTGTCTTTTTACCTTCCTCGACAACTGGACCAACCTTCAACAAGCCATATATGGGATCAACACACTTCCTGGGAGACACCGATCTTAATGCTAATATATACGTTGCAAGTCCACACTAACTGGGAGGCCACCGTGTCAATATAGACGCAAGTCATTGACCAAATTTACTGCTTAAATGCTATTTCAGAGCTAAATTTAGTACATCATAACATTACTATTACGGCAATTCTACTCTAATTCAGGATATTCCTTTTGAATCGAATCTATGATTAATGAATGTTACGCATAACATGGAGCTTGGCAAATGTTATTCAAGTAAAGTTAGAAGGTTTCTGATTTATTCAAAGAGTAACTACGACTAAATCTTACACTAATTCACGGTGAGGGTTTGCCCAGTAGTTTCCAGAAGGCTTTTAGATTTGTGTAGAACTTCCCTGGGAATCTGCGGCAGCTTGCCGCAGCTATTAGTGATCTGCAAATCTTGAGGGACGGATTCATGTGGCCAAATGATGATTCACTGTGAATGAAAAATAAAAACAATAAAACATGAAATTGCCTTCGTATACTTTATGCAATGAAATTTGTTATGTATTAACAAATAGCCAGTAGATCATATTTGTTTAACTCTCCACCACCGTTGTCCCTCCAAAAATACACACCACAACCGTTGTCCCAAACTATTTTTCACAACCACTGTTCCTAACAAACTACTGATCAACACCATTGCCCCAAACAAAATTCTCAGCTTCACCATTGCCCCAATCAACTTTCCTCCACAGGTGTCCCAAACAAACTCCTTACCACTCTTCCACTAATTTTCCAAACAAACTACCTTCCTTCACCAAAAAACTATTTTTTTTCCTCCATTGGCCCAAACAGACTGTTTACAATACTTTACAGAAATCCAAACTACATCAGTCAGCAAGCAAAAACTGTAATACAAGTTAGCTTTATAAGAATACTGAACTTACCCTTACGAATGGGTTAACGAAAACCTTGTTGCATTTCCTTTACGTTTCCCATATTCGGAAGTGTTCGCAGTCACTCTAAGAAATTAAAATTAAAATAATGACTTTCAAAATTCATATCGATATTAATATGAATGTAATTCCCGGTGAAAGTCCATAGGGGATAAATGGAAACAGACACAGCTTATCGACTAGTTCCCAAAATCACTTGATGATCAGAAGAATTTCGTATTTTTCGGCTTCTATTTCAACGTTTGGAATTGAATTGCAACATGGTGGCTAAGATTTGAAATACCAGTTGGTATAACTATTGAAGAAATCCTTTCTCCTCTTCCTCCCTCCAATACAAGAGGAAGAGGAGAATGAATCTGAATGTGTGTGTTGTCCTGTGTTTGATATTTTCACTTTTTGCCCTTTAAGTACTGTGATGAAATTTCCGTTCTCCAAGCCCCGCCCACGATCCTCGCCCAATGAACTCCCAACACTAGTCCTCGGAACCCCAAGACTCCGGTCACTTAAGGACAAATATTTTGGGGACACCGGAAATGACCTAAAAGATTCTTATAATAGCTATTTATTTTGAAACTGGACTCGTGGCACATTCGTTTTCTCTTTTAAAAGCAATTATTTCATATCATAGTACTTCCTATGAATAAATTGAATTAAGATAAGAAATGCGATATAGAATCAGCATTATATCCGATGAGCTCATTGCTCCATGAAAAAAATCCTGCTCTTTCCTATCCGATTTCATAAATGTTAAAGCGAAGACATTTAAATAAAAAAACAGCCATTTCCCAAAGAAAAAGACAACAACGAAAGTTTTGACTATTACTGATATTGCTATCATCCCTATCATTGCTGTAATTATCATCATTACTGGCACCATTATTATCATTACAGCCATTATTATCATTATTATTATTATTATCATTGCTATCATTATTAACACCATTATCATTATCATTATTGTCATTATTAACACCATTATCATTATCATTATTGTCATTATTAACACCATTATCATTATCATTATTGTCATTATTAACACCATTATCATTATCATTACTGTCGATATTAACACCGTTATTATCATTAGTGTCAGTTTCGATTATTATTGATATTGCTATCATCATCATCATTAGCACCATTATTAATATCATTACTGTCATTATTAACATCATTATTATCAACATTACTGTCAGTATTAACACCGTTATTATCAATACTATCATTATTAACACCATTGTTATTATTACTATTATTATTATTATCATCGCCATCCCCATTATCATCATTACCATTATCATTATCATTATCGTCATTATCATTATCATTATCATTATCATCATTATCATTATCATCATTATCATCATTATCATTATCATTATCATCATTATCATTATCATCATTATCGTCATTATCATTATCATCATTATCATTATCATCATTATCATCATTATCATTATCATCATTATCGTCATTATCATCATTATCGTCATTATCGTCATTATCATCATTATCATCATTATCATTATCATCATTATCATCATCATCATTATCATTATCATCATTATCATTATCATCATTATCATTATCATCATTATCATTATCATCATTATCATTATCATCATTATCATCATTATCATTATCATCATTATCATTATCATCATTATCATTATCATCATTATCATTATCATCATTATCATTATCATCATTATCATTATCATCATTATCATTATCATCATTATCATTATCATCATTATCATTATCATCATTATCATTATCATCATTATCATTATCATCATTATCATTATCATCATTATCATTATCATCATTATCATTATCATCATTATCATTATCATCATTATTATTATCATCATTATCATCATTATCATTATCATCATTATCATTATCATCATTATCATTATCATCATTTTCATTATCATCATTATCATCATCATCATTATCATTATCAGCATTATCAGCATTATCACTATCATCATTATCATTATCCTTATCATCGTCGTTATTATCATCATTATCATTATCATCTTTATCATTATCATTATCAGCATTACCAGTATCATCATTATCAGTATAATTATCATCACTATCAGCATAATTATCATCATTATCAGTATAATTATCATCACTATCAGCATAATTATCATCATTATCAGTATAATTATCATCATTATCATTATCATCTTTATCATTATCATCATTATCATTATCATTTTTATCATTATCATCATTACCAGTATCATCATTATCAATATCATTATCCTCATTATCATTATCGCCATTGTGATTATCATCATTATCATAATCATTATTATGTTCATTATCATCATCATAATTATTATCTTCATTATCATGATCATTATCATGATCATTATCATTATCATCAATAACATTATCATCATCATTATCACCATTATCATTATCATTATCATCATCATTATCATCATCATTATCATTATCATCATTACCATTATCATCATTATCATTATCAATATCATCATTATCATTATCAATATCATCATTATCATTATCAATATCATCATTATCATTATCATTATCATCATTATCATTATCATCATCATTATCATCATTATCATTATCATCATTATCATTATCATCATTATCATCATTATCATTATCATCATTATCATTATCATTATCATCATTATCATTATCATCATTATCATTATCATCATTATCATCATTATCATTATCATCATTATCATCATTATCATCATTATCATTATCATCATTATCATTATCATCATTATCATTATCATCATTATCATTATCATCATTATCATTATCATTATCATCATTATCATTATCATCATTATCATTATCATCATTATCGTTATCATTATCGTTATCATTATCGTTATCATTATCATCATTATCATTATCGTTATCATTATCGTTATCATTATCATTATCGTTATCATTATCATTATCGTTATCATTATCATTATCGTTATCATTATCATTATCGTTATCATTATCGTTATCATTATCATTATCGTTATCATTATCATTATCGTCATTATTATTATCATTATTATCATTATTATCATTATCATCATTATCATTATCATCATTATCAATATCATTATCATCATTATCATTATCATCATTATCATTATCATCATTATCATTATCATTATCATCATTATCAATACTATTATCATCATTATCATCATTATCGTTAACATTATCATTATCATCACTATCATTATCATTATCATCATTATTATTATCATCATTACTATTACCATTACCATCATTATCATTACCATCATCATTGTTATCATTATCATTACTATCATTATCATTATCATTATTCTTATCATCATCATTATCATTATCATCATTAGCATTATCATCCCTAGCATTATCATTATCATTATCATCATTAGCATTACTATTATTACCATTATCATCATTACCATTATCATTATTATCACTATCATCATTATCATTATTATCATTAGCATTATCACCATCACTACTATCATCGTTATCATCATTATAGTCATTGTCATTATCATCGTTATCATCATTATAGTCATTGTCATTATCATCGTTATCATCATTATAGTCATTGTCATTATCATCGTTATCATCATTATAGTCATTGTCATTATCATAATTATCATCATTAGCATTATCACCATCACTACTATCATCGTTATCATCATTATAGTCATTGTCATTATCATCGTTATCATCATTATAGTCATTGTCATTATCATCGTTATCATCATTATAGTCATTGTCATTATCATCGTTATCATCATTATAGTCATTGTCATTATCATCATTATCATCATTATAGTCATTGTCATTATCATCGTTATCATTATCGTCATTATCATTATCATTGTTATCATCATTATCGCCATTATCATTATCATCGTTATCATCATTTTCATTTTCATCCTTATAATTATCTTTATTATCATTATCATTGTTATCATCATTTTCATTATCATCCTTATCATTATCTTTATTATCAGTATCATCACCATTTATATTTTCTTTACTATCATTATCATTATCATTATCATCACCATTTATATTTTCTTTACTATCATTATCATTATCACCACCATTACTATCATCGTTATCATCACTGTCGTCATTCTTATCATTATCATCGTTATCATCATTTTCATTATCATTATCATCATTAGCATTACCATTATCATTGACATTGTTATCATCATCATAATTATAATTATCATTATCACTGTTATCATTATTATAATTACCATCATTATCATTATCATCTTTATCATTATAATTCTTATCACTATCATTGTCATTATCATCATAATTATCATTATCCTTTTCATTTTTAGCATTATCACTATCACCGTTGTCATTATTATCATGATCATTATCATCATTTTCACTATAACTATTGTCATTATCATTATAATTATAATTATCACCATGGTCATTATCATCACTATCACCATTGTCATTATCATTATGATTATCATTTTCATCAATATCATTATCATCCTTATCATTATTATAATTATATCATTATCATTATCATCATTATAATCATTAACATCATGATCATTAGCATTCGCATTTTCACCATTATCATTATTATCATCATTATCATCAGTATCATCAGTATTATTATCATCATTATCTTTATCATTATCAATTAAAGCATTATTATCAACATTACCAATATCATTATTGTGAACATCACCATTACCATTATTAATTATATCATTATCATCATTACAATTATCAATTATATCATTATTATCATTACAATTACCAATTATAGCGTTATTATCAATATTATCATTATCAATAATAGCATTATTATCATTGTTACCATAACTACCATTGTCATTTATCATTATCATTAACACTATCATTACTATCATTATCATTATTCTTATTCCTATTGCATTTATCTTTATTCCTATTCCTATTACTAATATAATCAAATCATTACTACTATTTTTATTTTTATTATTATTATTGTTACTACTACTTATAATATCATGTTATATTATTACCATTGTTCTTCATATCACTATTTTCACCGTTTATATTGTCCTTAGTTAGTATGAATATTATCATCATCGTTAGTATGATTCACTTAGATTGGTTAAGTAAATCATGTTGCAACATCAAATTCAAACGATTCATTTCCGTATTTCTCGAGGCACTTAATACATAGATACACATTAAGAACATAGATACTGACAAGGACAGACGCTGAAGGCCAAAATCTTACCATTTCTTTAATTTCGGCGAGAAGTCATAATACATGGAGATTGTTATTGTGAACATAATTTTGTTATAGTTTTAGTAGCAACAATG